AAAAGGCATAATTAGGGGGGGCTATATATATATATATTGGCATTGTGACATAAAATAATAATAATATTTTATTGTAATTTTAAAAATACATAAAATAAGAATAAATATTTTAAATAATATTTTAGAATAGTCATAATATTTTTCATGGTTTATATCAATAATAACGAAAGCAATAATTTACTAAATTTAATTTAATATCTACATAAAAATTATATAAAATAACTTAAAGCGGTCATCGGATGCCCATTTCCCACAAGTTGATATGATTCTTTAGGGTCTTAATGAAAAGTCTGTAGCACAGTTTGGTTAAAGTTTCTCAACGGTAGAGTAAAAACAGCTTTTTTACCGTCAAAAACAGCTCTTTTCAGAGCAAGCCGTTTTGTAGCATTTCCCTTTAAATGTTAATTAGCTCTGCTGGCTCCGCCCCTCTCTTCCTGAGCTGCTCTCAGAGAGACTGTTTACTTTAGCCGCATTCATCGTGAAACTTGCTAATTAGCACATTATTAGGAAAGGCGATTTGCAAAGATTCATTAAAAAATCGTATACGTAAGACACCAGTCCAGTCTGTGCTGAAACGCTACCGTCAATCAAACTATCGTGGGAGGGGCCTGTCCTGTGTGACGTCACTCAGGGCGGAGCTAAGGTAAGACACCAGTCCAGTCTGTGCTGAAACACTACTGTCAATCAAACTATTGTGGGCGTGGCCTGCCTGTGTGACGTCACTCAGGGCAAAGCTAAGGTAAGACACCAGTCCAATCTGTGCTGAAACGCTACTGTCAATCAAACTATCGTGGGCGGGGCCTGTCTGTGTGACGTCACACAGACAGGCATCTGAGATCGGCTCGATTTGAGAAAGGAGAAAACAATTAACCAGATTTAAAAAAAAACACCGGGTGGATTTTTATCATTATAGGGTGTTTGTGTACACACACTGCCAACACACATTTCAGTTCAAACTACTTGTAAAAGTGCATGTAGCATCCAATGACCCCTTTAAATACAAATTATTAACAACATTATAGTGAAGCAGCTCTCTAGTGTTTGGAAAAGAGCTGGACTCATGTTGTCAAGGCTGTTCTGTTGGAAGAATATCCATCCGTCTTAGCTAAAGGCACGATGGTTTGTTCTATTTATATCCACACGATATAGTGCATCTGTGTTGAATTATGTGAGTTCGTAATGAAGTACAGCTGGAAACCCATTTCATTCAGTGTATTCGAGATCTGTTATGCGGCTCGTCACATGTTGGATCTTGTAATGTTCACTCATGAATTTATTCCATGAATGTCTGACATGAGCTGCGCCGTATATCTACAGAGTGAACATGAAAGGGTTTTTTTCATGTTGAGCTCCAGTGATGAATATACATAGCACATTATTATAATGCATCTGGACAGTTTCGTGGGTTTTTCCCGTTGTTTCTTTCTTTTCTTTTTTCTTTGCTCTGGACTATACTTATTACATTTTCTTCATCACAAATTAAGGCATTATAAATACAAACATAATGTATAAGTACTTAATTCTACATTTTAATAATGTTTATATATATATCATATATATCAATCACTTTGGATCAATTTAATGCATCCTTGATAAATGAAAGTAATTTTTTTACTTGTTTAGTTTGTACTTTTTCATTTGTGGTAGGATGACAAATATATATATATATATATATAAATTATTCGTTTTATTTATTAAGGACACATTAAATGGAAAAAAGTGACAACACATATATATATATATATATATATATATATATATATACACTTTTTGTCATCCTACCACAAATGAAATAGTACAAATGAAACTTTTGTATATATACAGTGGGTACGGAAAGTATTCAGACCCCCTTAAATTTTTCACTCTTTGTTATATTGCAGCCATTTGCTAAAATCATTTAAGTTGAAAAATTTAAGGGGGTCTGAATACTTTCCGTACCCACTGTATATATATATTTTTTTTTTTTTTTGAAACACTGTAAAGTAAGAATGTTTTAATGCATTTAAAAATGTATATTTATATATTTAAAATATATTTAAAAAAATGAATAAAATAAATTTATTTTGAAACATATTTTAGCATATAAAAAAGTTTTGTTTTTTTTTGTATATTCTGAAATATATTTTAAAATATATTTTGTCATATGGCATATATATATATATATATATAAAAAACGTCACAATGCAATAAATCAATCAATCAATCAATAAAAAATAAAAAAAATTATGGTACTAAAAAAAAAAAGGTCTTTGCTAAATCAATCAATCAATCAATCTTATTTTTGGCTGTGAAATGTGCCAGACATGTTCTTGTGGGTTTCGTGAGATTCACATTAACATGATCTGAGGATCTGAGTTTTTAGCTGTGGTTTGGTGAATATGATCTGCATTTTTGAGGCCGTGTGAGCTGCTTTAGCTGCGTCTTTATAACCCGGTGCTGCATTAGCATCCGGAGTGTCCCGGCGTTTCATAAGCGTCTGCTTTTATCTCGTCTGGCTGTGGAAGTGTGAGTGTTTCTGCGTTCAATCACACACACATCAGAGCAGAGGCCGCAGCATCAATAATGCATCAGCAGCGTGCTTCTGTGTTTGTTAGTGCGCTGCTCTTTAAGCCTCGGCAGGACTGTCCTCCTCCTTTCGGAAGCTCCTCGTGTCCTTCTGCTCCGTGACGGCTGCATTAAACCCAATCAAATCTGTCCCCAAACACGACTGGAAGCTCTTGGGAAATGCATAAAGCAGGACGTCCTGATGGGAAAGTTGTGTTCATGTGGCGCGGTTCGGTTGTGTTTCTGATGGTGTAACGGCTCTTTGTAGTGTAGTACACTATCTAGTGTGTGTTTGCAGACTGCAGTGGACTCGACACGCTACATTATCACTGAAACAACGACAGACGCTGAGCGTTTATGTGTGATTCACACACTACAGACGTGAACTCAATGCACTGACGATCATCTCACTAAATACTACTATTTTATTAATTGTTTTTGCAAACAGTTTCACATACTATTTTTGACAGACGATGGCATGTGATGAAAGATATATTTAAATATATATTTCAGAATATACAAAAAAAGGGCCAAAAATCATATTTGCTAAAATATGTTTCAAAACACATTAATTTTGGTCATTTTTAAATATATATAAAAAAAATATAAATATAAATTTTTAAATGCACAAAAAAAAATTACTTTACAATGTTTAAAAAAATATTAATATATAATTTATATAATAATAAAATAATATATTGTAATAAAATATAATTACAGTATATATAATATTTCAATATATAAAAAAATACAAATTATGTATTTTATTTTATTTCCAATTTTAAATACATATTACACTGAGCACTGATATTTATACAATTATATATATATATATATATATATAAAACTGTTGATTTTATGAAGAGTATATATATATATATATATATGTATGTATTTGTATCAAAATGTATTTTATTTTATTTAAACTACAAGTTAATTTAAAATATGATTTGTATATATATATATATATTCAGTATATGATGGCCGCGTGTCGACATGATTCAAACATGCTCTGCGTCTCCGTCCGTGATTTTCTGCTCTTTCAATCTGCTGTATTTGAGTCTGACAGGCTGCTTTTGTTTCTGCCTTCTTCATGTTCTTCACATCCTCCTCCTCCTCGTTTTAGCCTGATAATGTCGTGTGGGAGAACATAAAACGCTTCCTCCGCTCCGACTACGCTTTTGTTTGCCAGATAAAATTCAGCCATAAACAGTCTGCATGCAGAACGAGTGGAGATGAGGATCAGACCACGATCTATTCAAGCGTTCGACCATCTTCTGATTAGACTCTTAACCAGTTTATTTCTATAATGTTCGTCATTTCAGCCTCTGGTTTCCATCACGTCAGATTCAGAAACTCAACATGAACCTACACTGAACTTCCTTAACGAGAAACACAGAATGAGAATGATTGGCTGGAGAATGTTAGGCTGAAATTTTATTGGTTAATTGGTCATTTTCCCCTCCCACTCGACCTCAATGACATCAGCAGAAGAGGAAAGTGTCACAATCATTATATATAAAGTGACGATGCTCACAAACGCCACTAATTCATATCTAAACTTGAAGGTAATGCTCTTTAAATCCCTGAATTAAAGGATTCATGTACAGTGATGTAGTCTTTATTATTTTTCAGTTTTAGTCGTAGTTATTTTAGTAAATCAAGTTAAACTAAATCAAAATAAATAAAATATATTATTCTATGGCTTTATTATTTTAATATTTTATTATTTTTATATCAATATTTATTTTAAATTGTATTAATAATGTATTTATTTTTTATTATGTGCTGTTATCATTTTTATTTGTTTTTTGTTTGTGTGTGTTTGTCATTTTTATGTTACATGTTACATATATATTATTAATTTGTATTCATTTAATTGTTATTAACTTTATTAATTTTTATTTAAGTTTTAGTTGTAGTTTTTTAGTACATCAAGTTAAATTAAATAAAAAATTAGAAATAACGTATACTTAACTTTTATTTATTTATTTATTTAATTTTTTTAAATAACAAAAATAACAAAAATGTTTCAACTTTGGTTAACTTTGGTTTTTAGCTTTGCCGTTTTTGTTTTCATTTTAGTTTACGTTTTAGTCATTTTATTATGTGCTCTTGTCATTTTTATTTATTTTTTAAATATTTAAATTTAGCATTAATTTATTTTATTTCAGTTTTAGCAATTTTAGTATTTAAACATAAACTTATTTCAGTTTATTTCCAATTATTCAATTTTTTTAGTTAGTTCGTTAGGTTTTACATTTACTATTTCTATTTTATTTCATTTTTATTTCAATTGAATTCAAAAATGATTCCTAATAGTTTTCGTTTAGATGTAGCCCTCCTCTACCTTCAGTTTGTTGTCTTTCAGATCAAGTACTATCAGTTTCAGAGGATCTTCAAGAACTAGTTTTTATGGTTTAGTTGACTGTGTTTCCTTGTTTTTGTGTTTGCAGCGCTGAAGAAGGGTCGTTTCTGGATCACTCCGGACCCGTACCACAACGACGACAACATCCAGATCGGCCGCGAGGTGAAGATCTCGTGTCAGGTGGAGGCCACGCCGCCCGAGGAGCTGCAGTTCAGCTGGCTGAAGAACGGCCGGGCGTTACGCAGCTCCGAGCGGATGGTCATCACGCAGACCGACCCCGACATCTCGCCCGGAACCACCAACCTGGACATCATAGACCTCAAGTTCACCGACTTCGGCACCTACACGTGCGTGGCGTCGCTGCGGGGTGGCGGGATCCCCGAGATCAGCATCGACGTCAACATCTCGTCCACCACTGGTGAGTCTCACACACACGCTCATCCACACACACACACCGCAGATCAGACGTCAGGAAATGCGCGAAGCTCATTTATCTGGATAAATATATCTTTATTGCTGGATCTGTCCGCTGCTTTTGACACGGTTAACCACCAGATCTTCCTGTCAACCCTATTTGCAAAGGGCATCTCAGGAACCTCACTCCAGTGGTTTGAGTCTTATCTCTCAGATAGATCCTTCAAGATATCTTGAACAGGTGAGGTGTCCAAGTCACAACATCTAGCTACTGGGGTGCCTCAGGGCTCAGTTCTTGGACCACTTCTCTTCTCTGTCTACATGGCATCACTAGGTTCTGTCATTCAGAAACATGGCTTTTCATATCACTGCTATGATGATGACACTCAACTCTACCTCTCATTCTATCCTGATGATCCTACGAGCTGCTTGCATCTCAGCATGTCTAATAGACATTTCTTGCTGGATGACGGACCATCACCTTCAACTCAACCTTGCCAAGACAGAACTGCTTGTGGTTCCAGCAAACCCATCGTTTCATCACAATTTCACCATCCATAAGTCGCTTTGAATAAAAGCATCTGCTAAATGACTGAATGTAAATGTATCTGAGAGACAGCTCTGGCTCTCCGTCCTGCACTCTTCAAAATAAATGCTTTAAAAGCAGGTTTTCACAGTGATGCCATAGAACAAGTGAACATTATTATTTAATGTAAAAATGTTTGTTTGTTTGTTTGATTGCTTGCTTGTTTGTTTATAACGGAGCTACATTTTTTTTTTTTTAGAATTATTCATTTATTTTTATGTATGTGTTCATTCATTTTTATATTTATTCATAATTGTTTAATTTTTATTTATTCATTCACTCATTCCTTCATAAAGGAGTATAACTTATTTAAAATTCAAATATGTTTTATTTATTTAGTTAGTTAGTTATTAATGAATTAATTCATTCATCATAATTCATTATTTATTTCTAATTAAGTTATTTATAATATTAATAAATTATAACAAATTATTTAAAATAAATTTGTATTCATTCATTCATTCATAATAGAATTTAATTTATTTAAAGTTAAAATTGATATGGATATATTTATTTATTTGTCTATTTATTAATTCATTCATTATACTTTTATTTATTTATAATTTGATGACACTCAACTCTACCTCTCATTCTATCCTGATGATCCTACGAGCTGCTTGCATCTCAGCATGTCTAATAGACATTTCTTGCTGGATGACGGACCATCACCTTCAACTCAACCTTGCCAAGACAGAACTGCTTGTGGTTCCAGCAAACCCATCGTTTCATCACAATTTCACCATCCAGTTAGACAGATCAACCATAACTCCTTCAAAAACAGCCAGAAAGCTTGGATTTGTGATTGATGATCAGCTGACTTTCTCAGACCACATTGCTGAAACTCTCCGGTCCTGCAGATTTGCTTTATTCAACATCAAGTAGATTAGGCCCTTTCTTTCGGAGCATGCTTCACAACTCCTTGCTCAAGCTCTTGTTCTGTCCAGGCTGGACTATTGCAATGCTTTTTTGGCAGGTCTTCCAACCAGTTCTATCAAAGCTTTACAATTAATCCAGAACGCATCAACAAGATTAATTTTTAACAAGCTGAAAATAATGCACGTCACACCTCTGTTCATCAGTTTGCACTGGCTACCAGTAGCTGCTCGCATAAAATTCAAGGCATTAATGTTTGCCCACAAAACCAGCACTGGCTCTGCACCCCTTTACCTAAATTCATTACTTCAGAGTTATGTGCCTCTAGAAGCTTGCGTTCTGCAAGTGAACGTCACTTTATTGTTCATCCCAAAGAAGCACAAAATCTGCTTCACTGACTTTTACATTAACTGTTCCCTCCTGGTGGAATGACCTGCCCAACTCTATCCCAGCAGCTGAGTCCTTAACCATCTTCAAGAAACGACTAAAAACACATCTCTTCCATCTTTATTTGACCCTCTAACTCTAGCACTCTCTATTCTAATTCTATTCATTATAAAAATAAAAATAAACTTGCCCCTTTTAGACTTGCATTTAGACTTTATTTACTAACTCTTGCTACGTGTGCTGCGTTAAGTTAGCTGAGACTTGTTATAGCACTTGCATATCTTTGCTCTTTTGTTGATTTTGATTGCTTCTATTGTCCTCATGTATAAGTCGCTTTGAATAAAAGCATCTGCTAAATGACTGAATGTAAATGTATCTGAGAGACAGCTCTGGCTCTCCGTCCTGCACTCGGCTTCATTTTTTTTTTTTTTTTTTTTTTAGAATTATTCATTTATTTTTATGTATGTGTTCATTCATTTTTATATTTATTCATAATTGTTTAATTTTTATTTATTCATTCACTCATTCCTTCATAAAGGAGTATAACTTATTTAAAATTCAAATATGTTTTATTTATAATATTAATAAATTATAACAAATTATTTAAAATAAATTTGTATTCATTCATTCATTCATAATAGAATTTAATTTATTTAAAGTTAAAATTGATATGGATATATTTATTTATTTGTCTATTTATTAATTCATTCATTATACTTTTATTTATTTATAATTATATAATTATACTTATAATTATTATTATAGTTTAATTTTATAATTTATTTTCATTTATACATTTCATTAATTTATTCATAATAGAATTTAAAATTATTATTTACTTATTTATTTAGGCATAATATAATTAATTAATTAATTAATATGTATTTATTATTTATTTAAAAGGTAACTTTGTTTATTCATTCATTATAATATTATTTTGTTTATAATGTTTTATTTATTGATAGTGAATTTTGTCTTTTATTTATTTAATTAAATTGTATAATTATTTATTTTTAATTCATTCATTCATAATATAAATTATTTTTTATTTATTCATTCATTTATAATGTAATTAAATGCTATTTATTTATAATTTTATTACATTTTAATTAATTTATCCATAATATAGTTTATTATTTCAACTAATTATCAATTATAGTTTATTTTATTATATTATATCGTTTATTATTTTAATTATGTATTTATTTAAAAATGAAAATGTATATTAACATCGGAGCAGCTTTAACAGGACTTTGAGGCCAGCCGTAGAGAATCTGTGGTTTGAAACGCTGTATTTTCCCGTGTGGATCGTTTGCGGGAGTTGAGAGAAATGAGCTGCTGCTCTCTAATCAGGAGTCACGGATGATCAATGAGCTTCCATCCGCAGTCCTGACGTTTTTCATTATCATCCACCTCCATCTCAGATCATCGGATCGATCAACAGTGATTGTTAAACCTACAGAATCACAGCGAGAAGAAGTCATTTACGTGTGAAATTATATTCAGATTGATGATTCGGTTCAGAGTTTTTAGTTCACTCCCTGCTCCCTGCTGGAAAACACATGCATAACATTAATTCATTCATTTATTAATATATATATATATATATGGACTTATTCATTCATTCATTCATTCATTCACTCACTCACTCACTCACTCACTCACTCATTCATATATATATATATGGATTTTTTTTTAATGCATTCATTAATTTACTCATTATAAGACAATTTATGTATTTATAATTACAATTTTATTTTAGATTTATTTGGTCAATGCTTTCACAATATTTATTTAGTTGTTTATTTGTTAATATATAATAGCGTTAACTTTTTATTTATTCATAATAGATTTTTTTAATGTATTTTTTATTCCATAATATAGTTTTAATTATATTTATTTATTTAGTCATTTAGTCATGAATTCATTATAGTTTATTTACTTATAATTCAAAATATATTTATTAACTATAAATTAATTAATTCATTCATTTTTATATTTATTCATAATGTTATTCAATTATATTTATTTAAAATTAAATCCAATTTATTTATTTATTTTATTTGTATTTAAAATGGTTTTACCTTTATTTGTTTAATCATTTATGTATCGATTCTTTTTTTTAATTTATAATCAAAAATATACTTTTTATTTATTTATTAATTTATTTATTTTGAACCATTCATTGGTTCAAAATAGCCTTTATCTTTTTTTTTTTAACTGATTAAACTTTTTTTTTTTTTTACCGATTTATAAGCTATTAGCCTGAAAAGAGCAAAACAGTAATTGATCATCATTAATAATGTCTGAATGATCTGAGATTATCAGAAAGCTCACCTTGACTTCTTCGTTACGCTTCATTTTTAAATCTATTTACATTCGAAATATATAATATCATGTCTGTTTTGTGACATTTGTTTATAATATTATTTTATTTATAAATAAAAGTAATTTATTGTAATTTAATTATATATATATATATATTATAATTTTTTTATTATTATTTTTTTTTTTTGATAAATTCATTTATATTGGCTATTATTTGTTCATTTTGCATTTTTTTATTATTATTATTTATTTCAGCTTTCTGAAGACCACAGCAGTAGCTCAATTTCATGCCTCTTGATTTTATTTATTTATAAATGTGTTTATTTATTTTATTTTATTCATTTCTTTGATTATGTATTTTATTTATGTATTTATTTTAGTTTTCTAAGGAACACGGCAGTAGGTCAGTGTCATGCCGTTTTGTGAAGTCAGCCGATAAGGAAAGTCATTCGAGTGAGTCTGGTAGAGTACGTTATTCTATTTTGAGTTAATCACAATAAGAACATGAATGAAGAGAGTGAGTAGTGTGTATTTAGCTCATGCTGGAGTATCTGCTGTATCTGGAGCTCCGGTCCATCCGTCGCTCGTCATGTTTCGGTGATCAGGTGCTTCTGAAGGACTCACTAGAGCTCCTAATAAAAGCGTTTAGAGGAGATTACGCTGCAGGTTTGCCAGGGATTCATGCTGAGGAGGTTCGACTGAGAACAAGCCCAGAACGTTCAGCGTTTGAGCCAAAATACTGGAAGAGTCAGCTCCGCTCTGGCAGAGCAAGACACGTTTATTTATAGAGCATGTTCCATACACGATAATGAATCAAAGTGCTTTACATAAAAATACACAATGTTAACATTTGCTGGTGGTATTCATTCAGTTATAATATTTTTTTATTTATAATTTGATTTATATTTATTTCTTCATTTGTAATTTATTTATGTATTTATTCATGTATTCATACATTTATTATGTAGTTGTATTTATTTGTAATTTTTTATTTTATATTCATTTTAATTCATTCATTAATTAATAATATAACGTATTTATTTATTTAAAGTTTTCTTTAAATAAATAAATAGATGAGTTTCAGCCAATAGGTAAAGTCATTAAATAAACACATGAAAAAATAAATATAAAAAATAATTTAAAAAATTAATTAATTAAAGTTAAAAAGAATAAAAATAAATGTACAGATAAATACAGAAAATAATAAATAAAAGAAAAGGGTAATAAATAATAAATTCAGGATACAATTATTTATATCTAATGAATTCTATCTGTTTTATCAAGTCATGCTTTATTTTCCTTTTATTACATTTATTTATTTATTTATCTATGCATTTATTTATTTATTTTTAATAAGTATATATATTTAAGAACTTTGGTCCTCCGTAACATGCTTATAAATAAATAAATAAAAGTATTTAAAATGTTATTACAAACAAATAAGAATAAAAAAGATGATGCATTATACTAAGGCTGGCTCATTTATTATTTTAACATCATTGATATTCATTGTTTTTGTTAATATTTAGAATTTTAGTTTTTTTTAATTATTGTTTTATATATACATATATATATATATATATTTTATTTTATTTCGGTTATTGTTTATTTCAAGTAATGATTTTATGATTTTGAGTTTAAGCTGTGCTCCATTCCATCATTTTGGTCACTTCTTACACAAACCAGAGTTTTTCTCGCTCATTAGCCGCTAGATTCGCTTCGTTAGTTGAAACTGTGCAGTTAATTTATTCAGGAGGCGTGTGCTGAGGTTTATCCTCCGATGATGAAGCGCGTGGACTGGCGAGTGTCCTGCTTCTCGTTCGCAGAGCTAAACACAATCGATCTTCATTCTGCTGGCGTTAGAGAGAGACAGAGCTGGACGCTTCTATCTGCCGCCGACGAGTAATTAATCTTTGCATTAGTCGTTACATTTAAATGTGCTGATAATGAGGACTCGGAGAGGACAGCCAGCCTCGCTTCATCCTCTAGCGGGACTCCTGGCTTTATCAGAGAGCCAGATCGAAACTATTAGTTCTCTCTGCTTTGAATTTCATTTCATTTATCTACGGAAGCTCTTAATGATCCGCACCTTCAGCTGATTAGATGCTGCTTCTGTTTTACTGTTATTTTGTTTGTCCATCAGGACATAACTAGAGCTGAGCATCGTGATTTACAGTCATCTGCAGAGAACAGGTTTGGAGAAATGTAGCATCAGTGTCTCACTGCAAGTGAATGGGTGCCGTATATATATATATATATTACAGTCATTTTTATAATTTATTTTAAAAGTGGCTATATTATTATATTTTTTTATATAGCAAATAATCTGCATTACAGTAGTGAGAAAAAAGTAAATCTGAAATTTTATGATGCATAATAGTAAAAATGTTTGTTTAAATGAATGGTATTTTGAGGGTTGCGGTCCTTTAATGGTTCTGAAAATAATGCAGATCTGCTTCATTTTCTTAAAGCGTGTATTGTTTGGCGTGTCTGTGAAATGTTTCGATGAGATTCTTTGATCTCTGTCGCTGACAGTGATGGGCTGATGTGTTGCCATGGCGATGAGGACGTGATGTCATTTCCCTCGTCTCCGAGGACTCTGCCGCTTTAGTTATTTATTTATGTTTGTCTCGTCAGACGAGTCGAGGCTTCAGGTCTGAATGCAGCGCTTTTATCTCCTCACGCAGAGCGACAGCTGAAGGATTTCTACAGTTTGCTGTGTTTATTCCGATAGAAACGACAAGATAAAAGACAGCGGGAGATGATTTCACTGCAGTCCATCAAGCCTCAGAAACGCCGACACCGGATCTGAGCAAAGTTTAGAAGCTTGAAAAGATTTTGATCATAAGAAAATTAAAATGAACTAAAATAAGATATAAAAATAAACTTTTATATTTCAGCTAGATAATATAAAAAAATGTATTTATTTAAAAATACAATAAAAATGACTAAAATGAAATGTTCCGCAAGTAAACTTTATTTCAGATATTTACAGAGGTGACAGAAAAACATTTTTATTATTGGAGACAAAATAAAAATTAAATATTAAAACTATAGTTGCCACGGCAACATAAAAAAAATACATATTTGAAATAAAATATAACACACTTAAACTTATTTTAATTCAGTTAGTTGCAACATAACATTTTCATTATTCGAAATAAAATAAAAAATAAACTAAAATATTAAATATATTAAATATATTTTATTTCATGAAATAAAATATGAAAAAACTCATTATTTGATTATTATTATTTTAAAAAATCATTATTTGAACTAAAATAAAATAAAATATAAAAAAAATTCTACATTTTATTTCAGCTACATAAAAAAACGTTTTTATTATTTGAAATAAAATTAAATAAGTTAATTAAATAAATAAAATTAAAAAAAATTAAAAACTCATGTCAACTAGATTCAAAGGCATCGTGAAATATTTTCATTATTTAAAATAAATACACAAATAATAACGTGTATAGAAATAATAAACATAAATATTTATAAATAAAAACTTAAACAGGATTAATCTTACTTTATTTCGGCCACGCCAGCATTGCTCATTTGTGTTTAGTTAAAGCTGAAGTACTAAAATAACTCAAACTAAATCAATTAAAAACTAAAATCTAATCAAACTATATAGACATACTAAAAAAATCTAATAATGATAAAATGAGAAAAACACAACAAAATTACTAAAACATTCAAATGAAGACTAGAAATCTGAAAATAAAGTCATAAAAGAACTGTAATGCTGTGGAACTAAACTACAACTTCGGTGTCTCTGTGTTGTGTGTGATTCGTTATGAGCTTTCGTTCGGTTGTGCTGCGGTGAATCAGAGTGAATAAGATCTCATCCGGCTCGTCTGGCACAAATCAAGCTCTGGTGTTTATCCAGAACGAGCCGTGAAGTGAAGCAGGGTTAAAGCCCGAGTCTCTCTCGCTGGCAGTAATGTTTGCAGGAGGCCTGCTGTCTAATGCACCCGTGCTTCGTTACGGTAACAGCTATTCATTTCTGCTAATGGCCTGGAATAGCATGCATTATTAATACACAGACAGCCCTGTTATGATGATTATCAGAGACTGAGTCTGAGGACGCCGGGGCTGATGCAGAATCATTCGTTTCTCATCTCGATGTGGAAACAGATCTCCGATCACATGCATGCCATAAATGATCAAATGATACAATGCTACAAAAATTCTGGATTTTTGAAATAATTTAGAAATTACTCAAATAAAGTAAAATATAATATAAAATATTAAAACTTACATAAAATAAAAATTAACTAGATGAAAATATGTATATGTTTGAAAATTCCAGCTGGCCGCAAAGGCAACATAAAAAAAACATTTTCATTATTTGAACTTTAAAATAAAATAAAATATTAAAAAACTTAAACTTATTGTAAAATATAAAAGAAACATATTTTATTTTAGCTAGTTCCCTAGGCAACATAAAAAATAAATAATTTTGTCATTTAAAAAAAATAAAATAACTTACAATATTTTAAAAAAATAAACGTAATAAATTTAATTTTAATTCAAATGCAAAAATTAAACTTAAACTTAATTAAAAATATATATGGACATTTAAAAAAAATAATAATAAAACCTAATACATTTTAATGAGTGTTTGTCTTATTTTCCTAAAAAAATATAGATAAGATACATTTACTTGAAACCCAAACATATATATATATACATATATATATAAATGTACAAAAACAAAAATGCTTTGAAATATATTTCTGTAAATATGTGTTCTAGCAATATCATTTTTTGGTACTTTTTTTAGCTAGTTGCCAAGGCAACATAAACATTTTTATTATTTTAAATAAAATACCAGAAAAAGTTTAAACTTATTTTCATTATTTGAAACAAAATAAAATATAAATAAACTTATTTTATTTAGACTAGTTGCCAAGGCAACATAAAATATAAACAATTTTATTATTTGAAATTAAAAAATAAAATAAAAAGCTTAAACTTACGTATATTTTATATATTTAAAAGCATTTAAAATATATTTTGCCCTCCATATAAGCATCATTTCTTCAGTCAGAAGGTCTTTGCATAGTAACCGAGACATTCATGTAATAAATGATGAATCAACATAACTGGTAAATCTCTGCGTACTGTTGGGGAATAGTTTAAAGCATTTAGTGACGTTACTGTTGTTTCTAATGCGGTTTGTTGGACTTGTTTTATATCATTTGCTTATTTGATTTTCCATCCCGAATCAAACGCAGACGTGTTTCGTTCACAAACACACGCTCACGCGTTGACCATCCTCCGCGGCCCCGTCTGCTGCCTTTCTAGAGCCCCGTATCAGTCCCTCCTCTGTTTTTCTCTTTCTTAGTTCCTCCGAACCTGACCGTGCCGCGGGGCAAGTCTCCGATGGCGGTGCGGGAGGGCGAGACGGTGGAGCTGGAGTGCCTTGTTTCAGGGAAACCCAAGCCCATCATCCTGTGGTCGCGGGCGGATAAGGAGGCGCCGATGCCGGACGGCAGCATGCAGATGGAGAGCTACGACGGCGTGCTGCGCATCGTTAACGTGTCGCGCGAGATGAGCGGATCCTACCGCTGCCAGACCAGCCAGTACAACGGCTTCAACGTCAAGCCCAGAGAGGCCGTGATCGAGCTCATCGTGCGCTGTAAGTGCTCCTCAATGCCTCCATGTCTTCATGTCAATAACAACATGAATGTCCACCAAATCAAACCATTCACAGCAAAAACTCCTGCTCTTAATGAGTATTTATGTCTCAATTTCCAATTAAAAATCGCAAAATTTCAAAATATACAAAACATATATTTACTAAAATATGTTTTTGAAATGTATTATCTATATCTAGGAATATATTTTTAGCCATTTTGTTATTTTTGAAAATATATTATATATATATTTATTTATTTATTTATTTATTTATTTATTTATTTATAAAGCATATAGCACGTGTGAACATACCCATAGGACAAAAATGCATTTTGAAAATATAGTTTAATAATATAAATGTATATTTTAGAACCATTTAAAATATATATTTTGCCCTCCATATATTGTAGTATTCCGATACGACAACATTTTTTTTTTTTTCATATTTCAAAATATAGAAAAATTTATTTTTGCTAAAATATGCTTCAAAATATATTTATGTAAATATATTTTTATCAATATATTTTTAGCCATTGTTTATATATTTAAAAAAAAAAAAAAAAGCCTTTAAAAATATTTTTCCCTCTATATATTTTAGTCCAAGAAAATATATTCACATTTGAATAAAAACATTATTTGTTGTCCATAACGTGTGAACATATGTGTGAACAAAAAAATATATATTTTCAAATATATTTAAAATATACAAGAAATGGTCAAAAATATTTTTATTGTGAGTAGTTTCGGTGTTTTTTTACAAGTAATTTTTACTAGGGCAGTTGGGTCAGAGTGTTTGACCAGTTGCAAGACAGTGTTTTTGTTTGTTTGTTTGGGGTTTTTTAATAAATAAAATTGGGATTGTCCAGATTTGTGGGTAGGTATCAGTGTTTTTGTACAAGTAAACAGTTTTACAAGCTGTCCTTTGAATCACCATGAATGAATCTCAAGATGCCACATAATCGCATCCATTATAACTTGAAATTGAATGCGGCAAGTTGTGAGTCACACGAGGTCTTTCCATTTTCTCTGAATATGAGTGTGTGTTTGAGAAGTGTGTTCAGGAACACATCCTGTACTTTCTGAAAGCCTGTTTGTCAAGGACGAGGAACTGAAGAGTCTCAGACTCAATTCAGACGCTGTTACTCCACATAACAGTTTGCAGATGACTTTATCTGACAACACATTGGTTGGTTGGTTGGTTTGTTGGCTAGCTCAGGGCTTTTGAAGCTTTTTTGGAGCCAGGGACCCCTTACAGGGGAGAACATTTTCCAAGGACCCCCACATGATTATAACAATGTTTAAGGCTTAAGGTTATGTCGGTGGGAGTAAAGAATGTAGAATGCTGTAAGAAACCTCTTTGTAACCTTTAAATAACATTCAAATCACAACAAGAAATGCATAGCAGACACACACAACACCCTAGTAACCACATAGCAGCCCACATTACTCCCTAATAACCACCAGAACACCTCAGCAACCACATAGCAACACTCTAGCAACTGCATAGAAATGCCTCAGAACACCCTAGCAACCAACAAGCTGCATAGCAACGACCTAGCAGCCACCACAACACCCTAGTAACCACATAGCAGCCCACATTACACCCTAGTAACCACCAGAGCACCTCAGCAATCACATAGCAACACTCTAGCAACTGCATAGAAATGCCTCAGAACACCCTAGCAACCAACCAGCTGCATAGCAACGCCCTAGCAGCCACCACAACACCCTAGTAACCTCATAGCAGCCCACAGTACACCCTAGTAACCACCATAACACCTTAGCAACACCCTAGCAACTGCATAGCAATGTCTCGGAACACCCTAACAACCAACCAGCTGCAAAGCAATGCCCTAGCAACCAGTCAGTACACCCTAGCAACCACCCAGCAACTGTCTGTCTTAAAACTTTCAAACTTAACTCTTATAAAATTATGTGAAAATAATTTGCTACATACCATATTTTCTGGACTACAAATCGCGTTTTTTTAATCATCTGAAACATGCTCTGATTTACAGTATATTCCAAAGTGACTTGCATAATGCAATTAATGTCATATAAGCAAGACGAAAACACTTCAAGGTTTCTACAAATATACTGTATTTCTCAAGTCTGTATGACAAGTGCGCAGTATTTTCTTTATTTCAGTTTTTCTTCATTTCATGCCAACTGAGATGGCAAAGTGCATTTCGTTAGTTTTCTTTATTTTACAAAAGTACGACGTTTCACTGTTAATAGACTCATTTCCATTTTGACTGATGTCTATCTTTCCGCTAATATAAGGAATTATTAAATTATTTAGTGGACTCCCTGGCTATGGGCTAATGTGTGCACGCTTAAACTCACTCAGATTTGAAGTGAACGTTTAGGCGCGCGGCGTCAGTCTGTGGACATCTTCAGGGAAGTGGAGGTGTGTTGAGGACGCGGCGGCATCATGGTGTTTGTGGTGTGAAATCACGCTGAGAGATAAAGCGTCTCCGGTGCGCAGTTGAGGAGAATGTGTGAATGCGATGAGAATGGCTTTCCTGAGTCACAGCAAACACGCGTGTGTCCTTCATGCACTCAGAAGAAGTACACTACTGACGATGTGCCCGAGGACTGTGCAGTTTTTTAGTTGTTTTTTTATGTCTGGAGATTTATAGCTGTGATGCTGCGTGAAGATTCATGACTGTGACTGAGAACGTTATTATGAATATGTCTAGCGTACTGTACACTGTATATATCCTGCCGTGGGTGTGTTGCATTGTAACAAACTGCGTCGTGTCACTACTAACTAAATGATCATCACTTAATAGTGTTCACAAACATCCCAGGGGGTCATTTTATTTGCCTCTTTTGGATATGAATTAAATACTGCAATTTAGCTCCAATTCTTAATTTGTTGTTTTAGTTTCCTTAGTGTTTTTTCTCCTAATTTATTATAAATATATGTGCTCAAGTTTGATGCTTTTACTAGAAAAATCTGGTAAATTAATATGATTATCTTGCGATTTTAATTGGATCATAATGTCAAAGTTTGTGATACAGCTGTCATCGTAAATAGAAGGTCCACGTTGTGTGCTGCACATTTCAGAAAAATATAGTAGGTTGGGTTTTGAAACGTTCAAGAAAGTTTCAGGTCTGATGAAGATATTTGACAAGGTCTTCAGTTTTAGTAATTTCAGTACTTCAACCTAAGCATATTAGTTAAGTTAAAGTTTTAATTTCTAATAAATGTTTTTAGTTGCTGAAAATGATTTTAACCAAACTAAAACTATTTTTTCATATTTTTATATTACTTTATTTCCGTTATACTTTAATCATTTTAGTACTTAAACTTCTAATATTTGTTGAATATTTCTAATATTTTAACATTTCTAATATAGCTTCAAATGTTTATAAGCTTTAATTTATTTCTATTCAGTTTTAGTCATTTTTTTAGTAATTCTATTTCAGTTAGCTTCCAAGGGAACATTTCTAATTTACATCTAAGTTTTTTTTTTTAGTTTAAGTTTTTCATTTAATATTTATACTTTATTTTATCTGTATTTCAGTTATCAAAACAAATTTGTAATACTTTTTTAATACAAATTTTAATACAATTTGTTAATAGTTTTCTTTAACAGAATTAAATCCATTTGTCTTTTTTGTTATTAGTTTTCTAAAAATATTTCTACATAATTTGTTTTTATTTCAGTTTTAGTTTTAGTTTCAAGTTACACTTATTTCAGTTAGATGCCAAGACAACATTGCACATTTTGTTTTTAAAATCTAATATTTATATTTTATTTCATCTTTATTTCAGTTACTGAAAATGATTTATAATAGCTAATTATATATTTAATTAGTTAAAACAAAAACTACTTGTCATTCTTATTTTTATATATATATTTCTATTGAACTTTATTTTTAATTCTGTTTTAGTTTGTCATTTTAGTACTTCCATTTAAACTTATTTTAGTTAGCTGTCAAGACAACATTGGTCATTTTCATTTTGAAGTGTCTTGTTTAAGTTTTTCGTCTAATATTTGTATTTTATTTCAGTTACCGAAAATGGTTTATAATAGTTGTAGTTTTCATTAACAGTAACAGCACTGCTTTGAGCTCACAAAGACGCGTGATTTGGAACGTTTCTGCAGTGCAGCGCTTCGTTCAGTTTGAGTTAGCTGTGTTAAGATCACGTCCTGAGTCTGCACTGATTGATTGATTGACAGCTGTCAGAGAACAGTGCTGAACAGCAGCAAAGGTTATTGTTTTGATCCGTTCTCCTCCTGCATCAGTGCAGCTGAACGCAGCGTCAGGCTCAGTATGATTCCTTCTGTCCGCTGCAGTGCTGTAAATCTGGACTGAAATCTTAAGAGCTCCATTCCTGCGGGACGATATTGACCTGAGCGGAAAGATCATAATGTATTCAGAGCCACTGATTTATATCTCAGCCCAGCTCCTTCAGTGAAGAACAACAACATCAATCCTGTGAACATACGCTGCTTTGATGTTTTACTCTCTGGAAAGAGTTTATATTAATAATACAGATATATATATATTTTTTTATTTTATTTATTTTATTATTTAGTTTATTTGGTATTATAATATTTAGTAATATTTTTAATTAACTTGCTTTTTAATATTTTCAATTTAATGTTTTTTAAGAACCGTTTGTATGAATTCATTTCTTTTCTTTTATAATTGTCTTTTATTTAGTATTATAGTATTCGTATTTTGAATTATCTTGCATTTATATATTTTCAGTTTCCATTGTACTTTTTTATTTAGTATTATAGTATTTATTTATATTTTGAATTAGCTTGCATTGCTATATTTTTCAGATTTCAATTTAATTTTTAGTTTTGGTTATTTTGATATATGTGTTTGTCATTTTTAGTAGTTTGTTGTTGTTTTCTAAATAGCTTTCATTTATTTTTAGTGAAGAACAACATCATATCCTATAAGCATATGGTTTGATGTTTTATTCTTTGAAAAAATATAGCATTATATAATAATATTATTCATATTTTAATTATCTTTCATTTTTATGTTTCTGTTTTCATTTGAGTTATTTTAAGTAATTTTCAAGTAATTTAGTTATGTGTGCTTATTTTATTTATTTATTTATTTATATTATTTTCCCCCTTTTTTATATTTCTAAATAGCTTTAGTTTATTTTTAGTAAAGAAAAACATTATATGTCCTGATAACATTTGTTCAAGCAGGTTGACTCTTTGAATAAAATATTAAATAATAAATGTATTAAATATTAAATATTTTGTTTTATTTTGTGTTATAGTATTTATTTATATTTTGAATTATCTTGCATTATTTGTATTTTTTTCAGTTTTCATTTTAAGTTTTAGTTGAGTTTTTTTTTTTTTAGTTATTTGTCATTTTTATTATTTTTTTTATTATTTTAAATAATAGCTTTATTTTAAAAAACAAATATTTCTAAATAGCTTTAAATTATTTTTAGATTCAAAATCTGATTCTGATTCAAAAAATATGTTTAAAAAGTAAAGTTTTTTATCTGCTATTTATATTTAATTTAATCTTTGTCTATTATCAAAAAGTTGTAGTTTTTGTTTTTTTGTATTAAATATTTCTTTCACCTTTATTTCAGTTAAAAAAAAGCTAACTATAAATAAATAAATTATTGCTTTTTTTGCACACAAAATACACATGTAATATGGATCAGGAGAAGATTATTACAAAAGTCCGTAAGTGGTGGGAACAGCAGAGCTACTAAAATGATTTGTCCTTCTTTTGATTCTGTTTTTCGTTCTGAATAACATCTGGTCACGTCTAATAACGTCTAATAACGTCAGTTTCTTCAGTCTCAGGAAAGCTGCTGTCGATGTTTCTGCTGAAATGCATTCATATGTCATCAACAAACACAGTTTCTCTGTCCGTCTACTGCTCTGAAAACGCTCCGACTGTTTGTGTGTTTGGAGAAACATCAGCGCTGATGTTAAAAGCTGCTCCATTATAGGACTGCATTTCCAGAGAGGTTTGAGTCTCTGTCAGATTGAACCGTGTTTGCTTCAATTTAGTAAGAGAAGGAACACGGCGGACCGTTATTAGCCACAGCATATGGCTCTAATGCAGCCAAACCCTTCATACGGCCGGCAGCATTTCTGTAAAAGCCTCGTCCTTGTACTGTATGTTGTTTTTTCCGGAAGCAAATACCAACTATTTCATTACATCTCCCACATGTGCATTTGTCATCGTCTGACTCACTTCTGCAGCTCTCTCTCGTTCTGTTCTTCGCCTCCTAGCTTTTGTTTAGCGGTGTGTGTGTGTTTCAGAGGATCTCAGATGTGTTGCGCTTAGCCTCTCGCACCCGGCGCTCATTAAAATCTGCCGTTTCTTCTCGATGGAGTGAATCTGGAGGAGGATCAGCTCGACCTCTCAGATTAAGAGCTCTGTGCTCATCTGTCCTCCAGTTTAACCGGCCTTTATTCGGCTCTTTACTGATACGCAGAAATTAATTTCAGCCGTTTGAAATTAAAAATGTTATTTACATGCTTTCTCCATGCATGTGTGTGGAGCTGCATACTGTGCATCAGTGCATGCATTTAGATCTTATTTTATTTTTATTTTATTTTTATTTTATCATCATAGTCTGTTGGCAACAGTAAACTGAGGGCACCATTTAATTTTTAATTAATTTTTTTTTTTACTTTACTTTACTTTACTGTTGGTTGTTTCCAATTGAGTGCTTGTTTTGAGTCTTTGGTTTTGAACTCAAGTTTCATACTGATTGACAACAAAATTTGATTTGATTCATCTGATGTTTCAATTTGAGTCCATCAGGATCCAAATAAAAATAGAAAATAATCAAATGAGATGAAGCACTATTTAATCATTTTTAGTTGGATTTTTAAATTTAATTTTATTTAATTTTATTTAATTTTATTTAATTTTATTTATTTTATTTAGTTATTTATTTATTTAGTTTTGTTGGATTTCCAGTTTCTAACCGGTAATATAGTTTTATTTAATTTTTTTAATTTTTTATTTTTTTTATTTTTTAGTTGGATTTCCAGTTTCTCAAACCAAACTAAGCGGTAATATAGTTTTATTTTATTTTATTTTATTTTATTTTATTTTATTTTATTTTATTTTATTTTATTTTATTTTATTTTATAGTTTCTCAAACCAAACTAAGTGGTAATACAGTTTTATTTTATTTTATTTTATTTTATAGTTTCTCAAACCAAACTAAGTGGTAATACAGTTTTATTTTATTTTATTTTATTTTATAGTTTCTCAAACCAAACTAAGTGGTAATACAGTTTTATTTTATTTTATTTTATTTTATTTTATAGTTTCTCAAACCAAACTAAGTGGTAATACAGTTTTATTTTATTTTATTTTATTTTATTTTATTTTATTTTATTTTATTTTATTTTATTTTATTTTATTTTATTTTATTTTATTTTATTTTATTTTATTTTATTTTATTTTATTTTATTTTATTTTATTTTATTTTATTTTATTTTATAGTTTCTCAAACCAAACTACGTGGTAATACAGTTTTATTTGATTTATTTTTTATTTGACCTTACCTTGCTTTACCTTTACTTTACTGTTTGTTGTTTCCGATTGAGTGCTTGTTTTGAGTCTTTGGTGTGCATGTTTTAGTTCAATATTTTCTTTTGTTTTTGTATTGTTATGTGACATGTGACAGTAATGCGTTTCTCTCCGTCCGTCTCTCAGATCCTCCGGCGGTGGAGCCGGTGTGGCAGGAGGTGCGGCAGGGGTTGGGTCGGCCGGTGGTCATGAACTGTCGTGTTCTGCGGGCTCATCCGTCACGCGTGCTGCGCTACGAGTGGAGGCTGAGCTCGCGGCTGCTGCACGCCGGCACCTTCGACTCGCGCGACGACACCGACTACACCATACGCAGCCTGGCGCGGGAGGGCTACGGCGAGTACACCTGTGACATCATCAACGAGGTGGGGCCGGGACGCTGCACCTTCCTGGTGACCGGTGAGACTCCTCCCACTCTACACCACATTCACTACATCAGCCTCTAACCCTGCTGCAGAGTGCTTTAAATTCCTGTGGTGGGCAGGATTTATGATGACGGACAGCTGGTTTACTGAAAGATATTATAAAACAGATTTTGGATGAATCGATGAGATTGAAGGATAGATTCTGTAGATAGATGGATTAATAGATGTTGCTATGCCCAGAGCACTCTAGCAACTGGATAGCAACACCGTTGCAACCACCCAGGTGTTTGCTAGGGTGTTGCTATGCAGTTGCTAGGGGATTATGGGTCATTGCTAAGGTGTTGCTATGCCATTACTATGCCCAGAGCACCCTAACAACTGGAGAGCAACCACCCAGAACTGCAATGCAGTTGCGAGGGAATACAGGGACATTGCTAGAGTGTTGCTATGCAGTTTCTATGGGATGCTGGGTCATTACTAGGGTGTTGCTATGATGTTCTGGGTGGTTGCTAGGGTGTTCTTTGTGTTTGTTATGTGGTTTTTGGGTGTTGTGAGTAGTTTCAATGCAGTTTCTTGGGTTTTCTAAGTAGCAGCTAGAATATTGCTTTGCAGTTGCTAGGGTGTTGCTATGCAGTTACTATGACTAGACCACCCTAGCAACCAACCAGAACACCCAGGTGTTTGCAACTATGCAGTTGCTAGGGTACTCTGGGTAGTTGCTAGGCTATTCTGAATGGTTGCTAGGGTGTTACTAGTTACTAGTGTCGTTGCTACATTGCAGATAGCAACTGCATAGCAACATCCTAGCAACGAACCTGAAACCCCTAGAAACTGCATAGCAACATCCTAGAAACCAGCTAAAACACCCAGGTGGTTGCTAGGGTGTTGATATGCTGTTGCTTGGGGATTCTGTTCTGAATGGTTGCTAGGGTGTTCTGGGTGGTTGCAAGATCATTACTAATGTTGTTGCTAGGACATTGCAGATAGATAGATAGATAGTTTTTAAAATAGCATCTAGTTTCCTCTCGTTGTGTGTATTCTTGTGTTTGTGAGTGCTGTGTTTCTTGTTTGTACTGGTTTTTGAGTAAATCACGTCTTCCAGATGTTGTTCCCTTCATAAATGGCAAAATAATTGGTCGAACGAGACTGAGGAGATTAACGCTTAACTACACGACCGAGTGGTGTTTTCAGCATTATCCATGAGTCCATGTGGAAACACGTTCCTGATCCCAGCAGATGCTGAGGATCATCTGATAGATGAATTGCTCTTCTTAAAGGGATTGTTTCTGTCATCATTTACTCACCCATATGTCTTTTCAAGCCTCTGTGACTTTTAAATATTATTCACTCTTCTCTGTCATAACACTGAAATCTCATCACATCAGTGTAGAATGTTCTGCAGAAAAAATATTAATTCGGTTCATCTGACTGAGTGAGTGAATGAATGATGACAGGATTGTCATTCTGGATGGTTTCTAAGGCATTGTGAGTGGTTGCTATACAGTTTCTTGGGTGTTCTAGGTGGTGGCTAGAGTGTTGCTATGCAGTTGCTAAGGTGTTGCTATGCCCAGAACACCCTAGCAACTGCATAACAACAATATGGATTCCCCTAGCAACTGCAACCAACTAACAACTGGTTGATCTTTTTACCCAGGTTGTTAGGCTGTTCTGGGTGGTTGCTAGAATATTGTGAGTGGATGCTATGCAGTTTCATGATTTTTTAGGTGGCTAGAGAGTTGCTATGCTGCCACGAGGGTGTTGCTATGCAGTTGCTATGCCCAGAACAACCTAGCAACAACCTGCAATCCCCTAACAACAACAACTATCAACTAGTTGATCTTTTCAGCCAGGTTGCTAGGGTGTTCTGGGAGGTTGTTAGGTGGTCACTAGAGTGTACTTGGTGGTTGCTATGTGGTCGCTAGGGTGTATATGGTAGTGGTTGTTAGGGTGCTGTGAGTAGTTGCTATGTGGTTTCTTGGATTTTCTAGGTGGTGGCTCGAGTGTTGCTATGCAGTTGCTATGCCCAGAAAACCCTAGCAACTGCATAGCAACACCCTTGCATCAACCCACAGTCCCCTAGCTACTGCAACCAACTAGCAAACTGGCTGATCTTTTCAGGGTGTTCTGGATGGTTGCTAGGGTGTACTTTTTTGCTATGCAGTTGTTGCCATCCCCTAGCAACTGCTACCAACTGGTAAACCGTTTAATCTTTTCAACCAGGTTCAAGAGTGTTCTGGGTGGTTGCTAGTGTGTACGTGGTGGTTTCTAGGGTGTTATGTGTGGTTGCTAGGATGTTCTGGACATAACAACTGCATAGCAACAGTCTAGCTACCACCTAGAAAACCAAAGAAACTGCATAGGTTGTTGTGAGTGGTTGCTATGCAGTTGTTAGATTGTTGCTATGCCCAGAACACACTATCAACTGCATAGCAACATGCTGCCAACTACCCATAATGCCCTAGCAACTGCAACTAACTAGCAACTGTTTGATCTTTTCAGCCAGGTTGCTAAGATGTTCTGGGTGGTTGCTAGTGTGTACTTGGTTGCTATGTCCAGGAATGATGTCTGATATCCATGTGTGAGCTGGACGGATCACAGCCGTTTGAGGGGCAGTGGGTCGACTGGCGTTTGTCCCTCAGACCCGACGCTGCTAGAGTCTTTCTCTGCTGAGTTTGGCTCTGTAGTTTAGTGTAGATGATCATCATGAAGTGTCTCTCATGTGCCAATCGTTCAGCATCAACTCTCCCTCAGTGCTCTGCCATTTCTGCCATCTGCTCAGAGCTCCAGCTGCCAGAGTCACAGTCCAGGGAGAGTGCTGATCCGGCTCTGATCCGCCTCAGATCTGGCCCGGTTCCTCCCAAAGGGAGCGGCGCCGCTCTCTGCAGGTGTAATGGATCTGCATTTGTTCTCGCTGTGAGTGAAGAGCTGCAAACTGCATTCATTTACTCTGCAGATCCAAACATGCTGCACATATGAGAGGAGGCTTTGGCTCAAGTCTCACGTCACAGTAACAGAATCAGAATCAATATATTCAGTTAAATGTTTTATGTATTTAATAATCATGTTTCAGTGCCTGTTTTATAGAATCCAGTGAATTAGGTGCTTAATTTCACTGGATAATTTTTTCTTTTTATTCTGACCTTTTTGGACCTTATTCAAAAGATCAGATTATAATAGACCAGACTAGATTTTTAAAAGAAACTTAAGAAAGCCTGAGCAGAAGATAGTAGAAGTAGTTTTAAAAGCTTAAAGTTTGAAGATTTTAAGGTCATGTAGTCTATCAGACAGATTGCAGATAGACAAACGCTTGCTTGAGTGTTCTGGGTGGTTGCTAGGGTGTTGCTATGGCGTATTTAGGGTGTTCTGGGTGGATTCTGGGTTGTTGCTAGGGTGTTGCTATGCGGTAGCTAGGGTGTTCTGGGTGGTTGCTAGGGTGTTGCTATGGCGTATTTAGGGTGTTCTGGGTGGATTCTGGGTTGTTGCTAGGGTGTTGCTATGCGGTAGCTAGGGTGTTCTGGGTGGTTGCTAGGGTGTTGCTATGGCGTATTTAGGGTGTTCTGGGTGGATTCTGGGTTGTTGCTAGGGTGTTGCTATGCGGTAGCTAGGGTGTTCTGGGTGGTTGCTAGGGTGTTGTGGGTGGTTACTATTTAGTTGGTGGTGGCTAGAGTGCTGCTATCCCGTTGTTAAACTGTTACTCTGCGGTTGTTTGGATGTTCTGTGTTGGTTTCTAGGGTGTTGCTATGCAGTTGCTTGGATGTTTTGAGTTGTTGTTGCAAGGTTGTTGCTCTGCAGTTGCTAGGGGATTCTGGGTTGTTGTTCATATGCAGATGCTAGGATGTTGCTATGCAGATGTTATGCCCAGATCACCCTAGCAACTGCATAGCAACACACTAGCAACCACCTAGAGCACCCGGGTGTTTGCTAAGGTGTTGCCATGATGTTGCTAGGGGATTCTGGAATGTTGCTAGGGTGTTTACTAGTTGCTATCGTTGTCGCAGACAGACAGATAGATAGAACGATAGATAGAAGGATAGACAGACAGACAGACA